TTGTTGATGAGTTTGACGTTCAGTTGATCAAAAAGCATTGAGTTAAGTGAATTGCATTCATTGCGTCCAACCGTGTTTAACTAACAAAGATTTCGTTTGAATAATAATCAATTTTGCTTGTTCATTTACTCAATTATTCCAATGATCAACATAAGTTACGCACTCGTTAGAGCATTTTCTAACGGTGACATCAAAATTTAAATTGAGCTGAGACTAAATGTTGAAAACTTTATGAATCGGTTCAGCATGGAACTGCTTGGTATGGCAGACTTTCGTTCTTTTTACAGGGAAAATGAATGAGCGATGTGAACAAACAACGGCAGTAGTAACCCCAGGGTCAAATGATTACGGTAACTAGCCACGCCCACAGCTGATGCAACCAACGGGATCAGTAACCCCGTGGTCAAATGACTACGGTAACTAGCCACGCCTACATTTAATGCAACCAACGGGAGCATTACCTCTAGGGTTAAGTAACTCCATCAATCAGCCAGACACGACCACAAATTACGGTAGTTAGCTACGCCTCTACTCAACAAAAACATTACGAATCGAGTACTAACACAAAGAGTTGAAAAATCAGAAACGGTCACACACATTTATCTGAACAAGTAACAAGGAATGTTCAGTGCTAATTTAATATTTATCTTATTATTATGTTATAAGTGTCAGATCACAAACAGTAAGCGTTGTCCGCGTTTGCAAATTAAAAAAGACCATTTGGACTGCGTCCACGCATCTATACATCCTTCGTCATTCAGACCCCATTCAAGTTTTAGTAGCCAGCAAAATGATAATACTACTGGTGAGAATTTCTACGAGATGCTAAATAGCAACCAGCGAACGAAATCGTTGCATCCAACTGTCCACTACTAGTATCACCTTGTAATAATGAATAATCAACTTAATTCTCATCAATTCAAATCTAATCGTCGAATTCACGTTCCCATGTGAAAAGCAACAATTCTACACAATCAAGTGACATATTTGAAAATCTTGAGACAAACGATTTTATCCACTATTCCGCAATCTGAACGAAAGCCATCAGCCGAGTAATGCCAACTCAGCACAACATTCACGTCAGGCAGTCAAAATCATTGCTTCATCGAACTTCCTGAACGATTATGACGAGTTGAAAGTGCTCGATACGAANTTCAGGAAACCAGTTCTAGCTGGATCAGTCAGTTTCTGGCTCAGACCTAGTTGAAATCGATGACAGGTTTGACTTACGTTAGTTCATATACTGCATTCTTAGCTCACATATGAACTTTTTAGCATATTACGGAGACTTTTATTCTATCGAACAGCCAGCTGCCTAGGTTTTCGTGAAGGAATTGTTTGAATTCGAACAAGTCTTTTTTTTTCAACAGCAGTTCAACTATTTTTGTATGTCAATAAACTATTGGTTCAAAGTGAATTTCGTTCAAGGTGAGCCGTCAGCGAGCACTTGAAACACAACCGCCAACTCCGGAACACTACTGGGAGGTTGGCATGCCCGATCGAACGGAACAACAACATCTTGGACAAATTCCGGAGAGTGATTCACCGTTCACGTCGAACACACGCCATCCGCATTATAAACATGTTGTGAACACTAGTTTTCAGCAGATTCTCTTTCCTAACTTCTCATTTTATTCTCATTTTCGCTTGTTGTCCAGTAATCCAATTCTACTTTTTGGGAACTTTTTTCCATGATTCCTGTAGTTTTACATCAAACACTATCGAAAAATTACTATCATGTATTTGATTTGTTTGTGTATAATGTCGATGTGCTATTCATTCCCTAGCCAAAATTTTTATGTTCATTCTCGATTCGCGTTTATTATGCTTGATAAACTTTGGTCTATTTTCTATAAGACAACCCTTGAACTGAGCCTGATCTCAAGCTTGTTTTTTATTAACGTTAGTATGTTAACGGAATGAGTTTAATTACGCTGATGGTAACAATATTGCATTACAGCGAGTGTTGATCAGACGGTTGGCCTATTGCGAACTCACTTTATGAATTTCATTTTGCCTACATTATACCTTTTGCACTTCCAGCCCTAATAAAACCTCATTCGCGTCATTGTCAATATACGTGCATTTGTTCTGAACTTACTGACACAAAATTATAATAGCTGCCTCATGACAATCCTAAACTTACTGAAACCACTAAAGATAC